ATATGTCATTCAGTCAGAGAACTCCAGATGATGTTATTTTTCTCTTTAATACTGCTACGAGTTACTAAATATTGAATTTTGGCTGCGTTTATAGTCAGCTTGTTGGCATCGCTCCACTCTGTAACCTTGGTCACTTCATCATTTAGGAAGTGTAAATTAAGATTATTAGTATTTTTAATTGTGTAAAATAAATTCGAGTCATCTGCATAAAGCCTAAAATTAAAAACTTCTGAAGAAGTGTAGATATCATTAATTTCCACCTTATACTAAAATATGTTTGGATATTTAGAGTACTACCAAATTTCCACTTCCAGTCTGGTTAGACCTAAAATACACCATGAATATTCACTTTTGAGATATAATTTTTGGTATGTGGTGGTTCTTGGATATTTTATCTTCCTCATCCTGTTTTTAATAGTAATTCAAACTTCCCAGTTTGTGTAAAAAGGGCGAGTTTCGCCATTTCAACATCGAAAATTCCTTTGCTTCATTATTTGCTGAGGGACGGCCGCTTTGGTATGTGCTCTGTAACTTGCAGCACATGAATCTAAAAACCTTAGGTAATCAAACAATCAAAGAAAGCTTAGAAAGAACTCCCATGTGCTGAGAGTATTGGAGACACATTAAATATAATTCAAAATTACTTATCTGAAAAGTAATTATGCAAATCAGAAAATTAACATGAACAGATTTGATTGTAAAACTAATGAGGTCTGCGCAATGTAACAAAAACTCTATGTACCAAGTTTAATTGAAATGTGATTAGAACCAAAAAATTATGAATTATTATTAAACTAATTAGGTTTGTACATTGTCCTAGAGCAAGTTTCATTAAAATGGAAATTACTACTTTAGATATCAGTGTGAAAGCTTAAAATTGGTTAATTATGCAAATTGGGTAATTAATATGTACAGATTTTAACCCACAATTATCCAGGTCTGTCTATTGTCCTACAGCATCCATGTATAAACATTCATTGAAATGTGATGATTAGTACTTTAGATATCAGTAGAAAAGCTGAAAATTAATTATGCAAATTAGGTAATTAATATGCACAATTATTTACCCTGAAACTAATCAGGTCTCTGAAAATTAGCTGATTATGCAAATTAGGTGATTAATATACACAAATATT